AAATCTCATACTTCCAAACATTTGACCATGTAAATATTATCAAGATAAATTGTGGAGCTCCAATGTTCGAAAACCAATGGTTTGAAAAAAAAGTATCACATGAAATAATCTTAAAGGCCTCCGACCATCTACCAGCACACTCACCAGAAAAATAGTTAATCAAAAGCATTTTGTTACAAATCAGAGTTAATGAGCCCTAAGTGGTAATATGCAATAATGCAACACATAACAAAAATGAGGGAATGTATATAATAAGTCATAGCACTCTATGACTTTAGATGCTTCTCAAAATTACCTGTGCTAGAACCCTTACCTAAAAATATTAAGAACCACAGGGTGAGACAACCACTTAGTAACCAGCATTCTAACTAATCATACATATTAACATGTGCTCGTGAGTTGCCAAGAGGAACAGTTAAAGTTATAATGATCATATAAATTTCATCGTTATCTATAACTCAAATGATAGAAATTAGCCCAATACTTCCCATTAATCCATCCGAACCGCCTTATTCCTACTGATTAGACTCATGGACTAAGTATCTGTCCATATTATTGGCTACTTGAAAGCTCACTGGTCATGTGATGAGGATAGGCTGAAATCCCTAGAGGACACAACTAGACTATGGGCCTTTCCCTCATTATATAATAATGGGAGCCCCTCATTGAGCTAGTGGGGTAGTTCCTTATTGAAACAGTGGGATAGAGAGTGAGCCAACTATTGTGCACTAATAGGTTCCTTACCATGTGGAAGGATGACTAACTCCATCAACAACCAAACCAACCATTTCAACCATTTGCAATATCAAAAACAATGGGGTTTTAAAGATGACTACAAAACACTTCACCTATAAAATTCATATCTATATAGATTTAAATCTCAAATCATGCTTTTCCATTTTTGAATAAAACAATTTCCACAAGGCAAGTCTAAGAAAAGATCATACCAATAACATTATATAAATTGTCAAATCATTTATAAATACACATTTTTATAATTACTCACAAACACGCATCAACACACATAATAGGTAAAAAATAGTTACCACTCATCAAAATGAGAAGAAGAATATACCATAAGAATCCCCGGATTCAAGCCACAACTCACAAGCACTTTGCATAACACAACCATAAAGTCAAAACATAGCTACTTGAGTGGCTATATACAATAATTGGAGATCCTAACCCCTTCAAGTTGTCAATTCTCACCAAACCCACAAATCAATCCATCCAATACTAAAATTTGGGGGCCGAATAGCTCAAATAACCCCTTCAAACCATTCACTAACCTCAACTTATACAATTCAATCAAAAATTCCAATTTGATACTTAGGCTTTTGCATCAAAAATACCTGTTATCAATAATCTAAACTGAGCAATCATCATTTCTAACTCATGTTACTATAACCCAAACATCAAAGCTCATTTTTTATCTCCACATTATCATTAACCATAAAAAATCCCAAGAAATTATAAACCCTTAACTCAAAAATCTTCAAAACTCCCAATACAAGAAATCTAAACCTATTAAACATTTACTATAACCCATATAAACTTTTAAACTCAAACTAATCGATTAGAGTTTTCCCCAACTTAAAATCCTCAAGAGCCAACAATTCAAAAGTCTAAAAATTTAAGAGGAAAGGGCAGAAATCAAGTCTAGGAAGCTCACTTGAGTGTTAAGAAGCTTGAAAACACCTCCAATAGGTTGAAAATCATTAGCTTAGTAGAGCCCAGTCATTTCTCTTCCTCCTCCCTTCTGTTTTCCATAGCTATTAACTTGTTTATAAAGCCAAATTTCAACATGTTTGCTATAGCAAACGTCTAGCAATTGACACAGCTAACACTCTGTGTTGCTGACTGTAGTGAACATCTAGCAATTGACACAGTTAACACTCTGCGTTGTTCGCAATAGCAGACATCTAGGGAACATCTAGCAAATGACACAAACAATATTGCATGTTGTTCACTATAGTGGACATCTAGCGAACATCTAGCAAACGATATAGATAAAACGGTCTAACTTTAAAAATTCACAACTAACTCTATTGATATCCAAAAATAACAAACTAGGCCTCTTTAGAAAGCTTGAGATGTCTATTTTTTAATGTAAAAGAAATCACTCAAAAATAAGATCATTTGACCTTTGAAAATATCCAAATTCTAAGACTACTTAAAAAGGTCAAGAGATATGACCTTCGACCATAAATCTTAGTATTTGTAAGCCTCAGACTTTCAATTTTAATTACTTAATACCTTAATTTTGTTACTAATAAAAAATTAATTAACTATAAACCTTAGATTAAAAACTTAGAATGTTACAGTTCATAATGTTACCCTTTAAATTTTTTTTAATCCTTGAGTCATCCTCACCAGTCGATTGTTGTTGACCAATGCTGGAGCTTTGGTGGTCGCCAGTAACTTTTTTTAATATTTTTTAAACATTTATAATGTGATTAACAACTCTTATACTAATATTCACAATTCCATCAATGTCATAAGGTTAGGCACTTGCTAGCTCTTCCAAGTTTTAAAAGCCATCACATAAAGTGGTTAATAATATTAATGGAATTGTGAATATCATTATAAGGGTAAGCAATCATGTTACAAATGTTGAAAATCTCCAAATTTAAAAAGCTGGAGAACATGTGGTGAATAACATTAATGGAGTTGTGAATATCATTACAATATTTGTTAATCACATTCCAAATGGTTAAAAAAAACTCACTTTAAAAACCTATAACACATATGATAAATGATGTTAATGGAGTTCCAAATATTGAGTGGCTGTTGATCGATGAGGGGTAGGTTGAGGTTTTTTATTAAAAAATTTTAAATGGCAACGTTGTAATTTTACTTGCACCTCAAAATTCTTATTTTGATCATTATGACTCATTTGGAATTTTGTAAATTTAAGTGTCTTTTTAAGGTTTGAAAATTCAACTATAATTTTCTTTTTGGAATTTTCCCTATTAAATATAACACTTCTATAGGGTTCGTATTGAAATCACCGCGGAAACCAATCATTCAACCATAGTAGAGTCACCATAGTCTTGAGAGAAAATTGATTTTATCATCAGACTAGCGGAAGTAACTAAATTTATCTATGCAAAATGATTCTATACTTTATACACACACATGTATATATAATTTTTTTTAAAAAAAAATAGAAGGATGACACTTGCAAATTTTCTTACAAAATTTTCGGTCTTTTATAGGAGGATGACACACCTGTATATAATTTTCTATACTTTATACACACATGTAATTCCAAATGTTTTCTTATATCGAACTCCTATACTCCCAAACACCAATAATAAAAAAATTCTTCACAAACTAATAATTAAAACCTGAGACCATAGAGAACTTAGAGACCATATAGAACTTAGACATAGACATCCAAGACTGTGTCTTGGAATCTTGGCAAATGAGGCATATGGGGGGGAAAAAAAGCAATATAAGTCTCGACAGTAAAAGAAAAGAGAAGCGTTAAAAAATAAATATTATATCTGTTTTATAAATATAAATACAAATATTAAAATAAATAGTATAATAGGTTCAATAAACACGAAAAACAAAGTATATAACATAAATAATATTGTATCAATCATATTTTTATATAAAATGAATATTATAAATAAATATTTTAATGAATAAGAAGATTAAATATAAATGTTTAATAATAGTTGTAATATTTAATATATAAGATATATGTGTAATTAAAACATATTAAATGATAGTAATATATATTTACGTAATTAAACCATTCAAGAATGTCACTTCTTTGGAATCTTGGAAACCCGAGCTGTTTCTTATTATATTAGCCTAGTTCCTTCCTAAGTCTGGCAACTTGAGCTGTCAAGGTTTATACCACCCCATGTAAGAAAAGAAACTCTTAACCTCATCTTCAATGGCAGGAAATCTTTTTTCAGACCTCTTTGCCATTTCTCGGTGTTTCCTAGTGTCTTGTCAGGCATACGGGTCAAAAATTGCGTGGCTCTGATATCATTAATGTTCAGAGAAATACAAAAAGAAAAGAGAAGATGGAAAAAAAAGAAGAGAAGAGAGGGAGTCAAGAAACTATAGAGAGAGAAACAGATAGTTAAATTCTCACAAGCTGATTACAATTAGTCCTCTTGATCCCTTAGTTATAGACGCGAGGCCTCTCAAAGCCAATTAACTAACTACCCATTCACCCCCCTTAACTAACTCCCCCTCGTTCATCTGTTGCATAACATAAAACAGTCGTGATATTGATTGATGTTTTAACAGCATATAGCCTCTCATCTGTTCCCACTATAATTTTAGAGAATTTATTTTGTGCTACCTCCTATCTTAATTATAAGACCTCGCTTGTAGTTTACAAACGAGATCTTTATTTCTAAAGGCAATAGTTAACTCTTCTGTTTCACTGTAACTGATTGGATCTCAACATCAAGCTTTTATTGATTGACGTGTGGGATGAGAGTATATAGACAACGAGAGTTGTTTGTAATATTTCTTCGTCTGAATATTAATACGCGATTTTTTGTTTTTTTTTTTTTGAACCTCAAAAGTGTTTTCTTGATCACATTTATTGTGGATTGTGATGACCAAGGTATTAGTTCTAAATAAGACACTCCTCAGTTTTTTTATCATATATCATTGGAGTGAGGAATATTGTTTCATATGAACTATGCGAGAATTACAGTTTAACAGCCTAATCAAGATTAATTCGCAGTTTAGAAGTTTGAATTGGTGTTGTGACTTTCGCATCTGATTAATGTACTCATTGAGTTATTGTACATAAAACAGGATCCGCAGCTTACAACAAACTCAATGAAAGAATGCTTGATTGTTACATGCCCCCAAGTACAATGTGGGAAGGGATAAAGGCTCTCCAACAAGAAAACATCGACGTAGAAGCTATGCATCAAGAGAGGAGTAAAGTCGGCCCTTTCTGTGTTTCTAACGTGAATGAACGTGACTTAAAGCTGATAAAATATGTTTTTGAGCATTCAAGGTTAGATTCATATGCTTACAGCTATACGACTAGTGTTTTGTGTGTGTGTGTGTTTCCTCCTCCTCCTCCTTCTTCTTCTTTTTTAAACGTGAAGCTTAATTAAACCACTCATCTTATATGTTCCTTAGTGAGAGATGTGTACATTTTTCATCATCGCGTTCATTTCTGTATCAATCTCAATTGATCACACTTAGACCGCAGACTCATTTAGATTCGGGGGTGAGTATTTACTTATAACTCTATTCCATTTTGCTATTATCGAGCAAGGTCTTAGTTGTGCTAGTATTCAATTTTACTATTTTTTTTTAGATAATAGATATCTTTGCTGATATATTGACCGACATCGAAAGAAGAAAGGGAAGTAAGCCTTTGAATTGGTATCTTCCAGTGATGTTTTCGGTAATTTTTTATTCTCTTTTCAATTGAATGGTACATATTAGTTCTTGAATCTATATTGACAAGAATTTTTAAGGGTTCTTTTGTTATAGAATGCAGCACTTAATAGTGGTGATGGAAGTTACTTCCCTGACTTTGTCGAACGGCATAATATGAGAGACAACTACATGTCAGACTTGATATATTGTGAGAAGGTATATATTACTATCTCCGGTCTTGATTATAAAATCTCATTTATAAACTACAAATGAGATATTATAATTAGGACTGGATATGGTATCTTTTTTGTCTTGTTGTAATTGATGTTTTATTTATCAAAATGAGTACTCTTTTTGATTATATGTGAATTTGATTTGTTTGGTTACATGTTACAGATATTTATTCCAGTTCATGTTGAAAAAAATTCATGTGGACATTATTATCTATATATTATTTATATGAAGAATCAAGAAGTTGAAATATGGGATTCGCTGTGTGACCAATTCATAGATAAAGCTGAACGTGACCAAACAACAGAGAAACTGGTAAGCGTTACATGGTTATTCTTTATCTTGTAATTCTTTATAATTAATCCTTTTTTGTGCAGTTGCTTGCTATGGATAGACTCTTTGAAAATGGTACGTTCACAAAATTTTACTGGAGAATGAGAAGCAATATACAATTACAGCCTAATGGGTGAGTGTAAGGATTCCCCCCCCCCATCAAAACATGTGTTCGTCCTGACTAGTATATTTCTTCAATATGCAGATATGATTGTGGTATATTTGTTATTAATTACATGCAACAACTGAGAAATTATGTGAGGAAAAAGCCTTCAGTACAGGTATGTTCACTAACAGAGTTGTCCTGTTTTTAATGCGCTATATATTTATATTTATATTTATGCATACAAACATACATGTATTAAATTAACACTCTTGCCAAATAAATTATGTAAACAAAATGCAGTTTGACAGCCATGAAGAAAGATTGAATTTGGCATTAAAGTTACTCAAGAGTGACTTGAACCAAGAAAAAGAAACGCTATACGATGAAGCAGCGAGATGGCACCAGGCACAGGTTGAAAGTGAAAAAGAAAATTCATGCGGAATTAAAAGAAAGGGGGTTCATTTCGATACTGAAGCCAAGAAAAGTAACGTTGGTTTGAAAACAGGTATATGCTTTAACTTATTACGGCCATTTTTGGTAGTCATTTATACCCCAAAAAAAAAATTTAATAGGCTAGGATGTAAAAATATTTATAATATATTCCTCAATGTACGGCTAGCACATAAAGTTTATCCAAATACAAAATAATTGTTATCGTCGCTTCGTAATTATTACTTCGTTTCCAGGATATATGAAAAACAGGTATCAAAATGCATGCAATATATTTAATGTATTTGTATTTTATTCCCACTTAAAATAAATGATTCCCTGTTTTGACCACATGTTTTTTATTGCCAGAATGCATTAAAGGTTATAAACTGCCAACAACTCATCTAGTGGGAAAAGAAGTTCAAAGACATACTCAACAAATATGGGAATGGGTTATGAAAGATGAGGTGTCAGTAATTGGGATATGGGGAATGGGAGGGGCAGGAAAAACAAGTTTAGCAACTCATGTCCATAACAAGCTTTTAGAAGACACTGGTGATGACTTTGACCATGTTATTTGGATTACCATGTCACAAGATGATAATAGAATTTATAAGTTGCAAAAGGCCATTGCAAGATCAATTAATGTTGACATATCTGATGAGTGTGATATCACAAGAATATCTGGAATATTGTTGCAGGCATTCGAATACATAAATAGATGTGTTCTTATTCTAGATAATGTTTGGGAACCTATCATTTTAGAAGAGGTTGGATTTCCTGTTTCAAACAAAGTAATTAAATTGATTCTGACAACTCGTTCGTGGGAAGTGTGTCAAAGTATGAATTGCATGAAGAACATAATAAATGTAAAACCTCTAGATGAAGAAGATGGTTGGGATTTGTTTAAAAGCACTGTTAGGATCCATCAAATACAACCTCGTGGGTTCGAGCGTATAGCAAGGGACGTGGCAGATCAATGCGGTGGTTTACCTCTTGCTATTGTTACAATGGCAAGAAGTATGAAGGGAAAGGAACACATAAGAGAGTGGAATTATTTGTTGGAATGCCTTCAAAACTTGGACAACAGACAATATGATATGGAGGAGAGGGTATTTTCAGTATTGAAATTTAGCTATGTTTGCTTAAATAATAAATTGCAAAGGTTTCTTTTGTACTATGCATTAAGTGCCAAGGAATATGTTGAAGATACTTATGTTGAGAAATATGTTGAAGATAATTATACTGAATGTTTAATCAGAAAATTTTTCTATGAGGGATGGACAAGCGATGAAACAAAGAGCATAGAGATGCAATATAATGAAGGTTACACCATGTTGAATAAATTAAACAATAATAGTTTGTTGATGAAAGAAAATAGATATTGGAGAATGCATACTTTGTTGAGGGTCATGGCTATTGATTTTGCAAAGAAGGCTGGTGAAATCATGGCAAAACCTTGTATGAAGTTGGTAGAAGTACCAAAGAACGGAGAATGGAAAGAAAATTTGGAGAAAGTTTTTCTGACTGGAAACAAAATACAGAAAATTTTGGATGGCACATCTCCTAAGTGCTCTAAACTTTCCACATTGCTTTTAGATTGTAATTATGATCTTGAGTCCATCCCAAATGATTTTTTCAGCAACATGCCAGCTCTTAAAATACTTGATCTATCTAAGACTGGCATCAGACAATTGCCTGAATCTGTATCTAACTTGGAATGCCTCACTGCATTATTGCTTTCACGGTGTGAAGAATTGATTTATGTGCCTTCATTAGCAAAATTGCAACGATTAATAGAGTTGGACCTTTCATTTACAGCCATCAATGAAACACCTTGTGGTTTGGAATTGTTGGTCAATCTTTTAAGGTTGAATCTAGAAGGTACAACTCAGTTGAAAATGTCAACATCAGTAATATCCAAAATGACCAATCTTAGGTCTCTTAGGTTGATGAATAGTAATCCAAGATCAATGGATGCTAGCGCACAGGATCTACAGGGTTTGGAAAAGTTGGAAGTTATTTCAGTCAACTTTTGTAACACTGAAGAGTTTAATGCCTATGTTAAGAGCTTCAAAGGCAAAGATCATGTACTCAAAAATTATTTTCTAAGTTCAGCTACATTATTTGATTCTGCTTCTCATGCGTGTGCACTTGAATCCTATTCCTTAAAAAGGGTTGTTTTATCTGGTATTGATTTGGAAAACAGAGCAACAGTACTTCCGGAGGACATCAATGAGTTGTTCATAAGTAAATGTGAGTTGAAAGACTTGAAACAAATAGTGGCACCATTCGCTCCATCCTTAGATAGCCCATATCATTACCTTAGAGATCTTGATGTTTTTGAGTGCAGCGAAATGAAGATTCTGATGATGCTGGACTTATTAGCACAGCTCCAAAACCTAGAGACCATTTCTGTTGGATTTTGTGACTCGATGGAAGAAATAGTTGGAAACCATTATTGTAGTGGTAACACTTTTAACCCTACTATCACTCTTCCCAAAGTGAGATCTGTGAAATTGTATTGTCTACCAGAATTAACCTTTGTATTTAAAGGAACTATGCTTTGTCCTTCACTCAAATATTTCCATGCCTACATTTGTGAGAAATTGAGCCCCCCTCATATCGAGATCGTAGAAGGACTTAAGCTTCAGATGGAAAATATCTCCATTGGAGGATATTGTTGGAATTATGGTAATTAGGTGCACGTCTCTTCTAAAATTCGACATCCTTTTATTATGTGGATATCAATTTTTTTTTAAAGTTTATATACATAGTATACATATGAACGTTACTATCGTCTCTATTTGTTTCATTTTTCTTTATTTTAATTTTAAATACTTGTCATGAATTTATATAAAATATTTTAAATCATTGTCTTTAGTCTTTGCCTTTATCAATTCACTCTGCTGTTTGGATTGAAGTCTAACTTCATTTTTTAGATGAGCTACTATTTGACAATTCCTTAATTGAAATTTATGTCCCTGGGATTCATTGATGCAATTTAGAAAATGAGAGGTTTATTAATTTTTCTGTTTATGCTTCTATGGTTTTCTGACTAATAATTTCGGATGAATGTTGAGCCTATTTCTTTGGGTTTTGGCATAAGCTTTCAAAACCAACTTGGATCTGGTACAAAATCATGGGAGAAAATATGTCAAGCGTTATTTCTATAATGTTTTATTTATTTATTTTGTTCTTTCAAATGGTTTTTTCTGTTAAATTTAAATATAAAATTTTCATTATTCGGTTCTATTGAATTTCATGGCTTCCATGATTCATGAGGTCATATTTTACCTTGTTTAACATATACACATTTGAAACCTCAGAATAAGTTTCTAATTTGATTTCTTTTACTACCTCTGATCCTTATTATAAGAGCTAGTTGACTAATTTAAAGAGATTAAAGAAGTAAATTGAGTTAGTTACTTGTCATAAATAAGTGTTGTCTTTCTTAAAATATCCTTGCTACTAATTAAGTGTATTAGCTAGAACTATCATTGTTAGAAGTACTACTTTGAAAAAAAATGTATAAAGATGAGAGACAAAATAGATTGAGGTCTTATATTTAAGAACAAAATAAAAGTCAAATAAGTTTTATATTAAGAACCGGATGTAGTATTAGTTATTAGGATTAGGGCATCCCTTGACTTGTATGTTCCTTTTAACTTTTATTCGGTGCGTGCGCGCCCCTATATCTTTTTATGAAGGATTTTATATATTCTCTTCCTTCTTAGAAATTCTTAGGTACTTCTAGTGTGCCAGCTCATCTAAACTTTATCCAATAAAAATACTCCAACTCATGTAATTTTAATTTACATGTCATATCAGCCAACTCATTTTCATTAAATTGTTGTTTTAAAACAATTAAGAGTGATTATTTCCATTTCTGCCGCTTCTTTTCCTTAGTTCCTTTCCCTTGTCTCTTTGGTCCATCCCAATCTCTCTCCCTTCCTCCCTTCACTTCTCCTTCTTCTCCTCAATGCCGCAGGGGACGGCGGCGGAGACACTGTGTATGTGAACCCATTAAAAGATTTTTTTCCCCCTCCCTTATTCATTATTCACCAGTGTGAGGCAAGATAAGGTGTTGAGTATTTTACAAAACCCATCTGTAAGAATTTCCTTTAAAAAGTTTCAGATCTCAAGACTTCCTAGATAAATCAAGCTCAAACTTGATAATTTTTGAAAGCTACTTCCCTCCTCTCGTCAACTTCGGAATCTCCACCGCCAGCATCTTGGAAGAAAACGAGGACGTGAAGGGAGGAAGCGAGAGAGTTTGAGATGAAACGAAGAGATGAGGGAGAGGGATTAGGAAAGAGAGAAGTGGCAGAAATGGAAATCACCACTTGTATTTTTTCTTAAACAATAATTTAATGAAAATGAGTTGGCTGACATGTGCGGATTAAAATTATATGATTTGGAATATTTTTATTGGATAGAGTTTAGATGAGTTGGCATGTTGGAAGTACCTAAGAACTTCTCATTTTTTTCATGGGAAATTTGATATATATCGGATGGAAAATATTCTTCTTTGAATACTGAGATTTTGGGCAAAAGGGGGGGATAAATAATGAATTATGTGTTCTCTTGTATCATTATATGACTATCAAAGATTAACTAACCTTTTCCAATATTTGTGAAATGTCAAGCCTTTTGTAGAAAAATAAAAGCATAAGCTTCGCTGGTAAGATTTGGTATAAAATATACTATTTTTTGTAAGAAATTTGACTGCGTTTAAAATTGAGAAACTAATTGATTAAAACCTAAAATCCCATCAATAATTGATTCATGACAGAGGAATTAGCAACAAATGATTTGCATTACTAATTTGTTTCCGTCGGTAATTGACGGATTTAGCCACCAGTTAGTACTGTAAATGCACTTCGTTATTCAAAGACCAATGTGCCAAGAAGCAAGATCCTCCACATTAATCAAGTTACATGTTACATGCAAGTTTCATGACCCTTTCAAATTAATGCCTCTTCTAAAAGGGATGCGAACTTCTGGTGGTTGATTCGATGCAGTTTTTTTTTCCTCTAAAGCATAGGTATTCTCATATCAGAGGTAATCCTATTCAAGGTATTGTCGGATACTAAATGTAGGCACCTCTTCCAGTGAAAATTCGAATCTTGGTTCCCCATGTTATTTTTTTGTTCGAGTGAAGTAATAGGCTCCATTTTTTTTAGTGAAGTAATAGGCTCCATTTTAAACGGACACAACTTTCTCATAACTTCCTTACAGTGAGTTGCGTATTAAAGCGGATACTATTATGCTAAGCAATTGGAATTAGAAAGCTGCAAGTTTTCTGCTCAAATCTTTGTCCTTCACATTTCAGTTTGGCGCTTATAAGCTGCCAGCCGATTTTGAAAGAGATACCCTTCATGTTATACTACTCTAGGTACTTAATATAAAACTTAGTGTAAAACATCAAGCCCCCAAAACGCACAGCTTTGCTGAATCTGAATATTTCATTAATTGAAGAAAAATGAAAATTACACACTCTAGGTTAAATGGACTCAGTCATTTATAGACCAGAGCCACTGCCTCTCAAGTCCTAAGGCAAGAGGCCTATTGGTTGCAAGTGGGTATATAAAATTAAATACAATGCTGATGGTAGTATAGATAAATTTAAGGCTAGATTGGTAGCTAAAGGCTATAATCAAAGGGAGGGGATTGATTATAATGAGACTTTCTCTCCTGTTGTGAAAATGTTTACTATCAGGGTTGTTTTGAAATTAGCTTCTGTCCATAATTGGGACATTTATCAAATGGATGTTCACAATGCATTTTACAAGGTGATTTAAATGAGGAGGTTTATATGAAAGTTTCTCAAGGTTTTGAGAGATGGGGGAGCAAATGGTTTGGAAACTAAACAAGTCCCTTTATGGTTTAAAGCAGGCTTCAAGACAATGGAATCAAAAATTGTCTGAAGCTCTGCAAATGCGAGGTTTTAATCAAAGTAAAGCTGACTATTCTCTCTTTATTAAGCAATATGATCATGGAATTGTTCTTATTCTAGTTTATGTGGACGATTTGCTAATAACTGGAAGTACTAAGGCTGGTATTGCTAAAACTAAGAGATTTTTACATAGTCATTTCAAAATAAAAGATCTTGGTCTAATGAAATATTTTCTTGGAATAGAGGTTGCTAAATCTAAGAAGGGGATCATTTTATCACAAAGAAAATATGTATTAGACTTGCTGTTTGAAACTAGAATGACAAGTTGTAAGCCACTGACTGTCCCGATGGCACAAAACCTGAAGCTGTGTGCATATGATGAGAGGAAGAATCGAAAGGAGGACTTGTTGAAAGAGCTGGGGAAATACAGACGATTGGTTGGTAAGTTAATTTATTTAACTATGACCCAGCCTGACATATCATTTTCTATGCAAACCTTGAGCCAATTTATGCAAGTCCCAACCAAAGCTCACATGGCTACAGCAAAGAATGTGCTGTGTTACTTGAAAGGAACTCCTGGTTTAGGGATATTCATCAGTTCAGAAGGAAAACCGCTATTAGAATGTTACTGTGATTCAGATTAGGCTTCCTGTGCTATGACAAGGAGGTCCATGACTGGGTACCTATTGAAACTAGGAGGATCACTTGTGATGTGGAAAACCAAAAAGCAACACACTGTATCCAAGTCCTCTGCAGAGGCAGAGTATAGAGCTTTGAGCATGGCAACCTCTAAGATAGTTTGGGCAGTTAGTTTACTAAAGGATTTGGGAATTAATCATGGAAGTCCAACGAGAGTGTATTGCGACAGCAAGGCTGCGATTCACATTGCAGCAAATCCAGTATTCCATGAGCACACAAAGCATATAGAAATTGACTGTCATTTTGTTAGGGAAAAATGGGAGTCAAAGCTAATTGACCTGCATCATGTCAGGAGTCGAGATCAAGAGGCAGATCTTTTGACAAAAGTTGTAGGAGGAAACATACAGAAGAACCTCTTAGGCAAGTTAGGAGCTCCAGATATCTTCAATCCCCTAACTTGAGGGAGGGTGTTAGAAATATATGTTATTTGTAGTTTTCATATTTGTTTGTTTTCCGCTATGCTGTATATGTGTTTTAGGCTTGGGCCCGTGTGGAGTCTGTTTATGTGTTCAGGGCATGGGCCTGAGTTAAGTTGTAGATCTGTATAATTTGGGCACATTAATGTGAAGAAAAACAAGAAATATAGTACTTTAAAATAATCTAATTTAATTTTCTTAATCTTCTCAAATTAGTTAAATAAGTCTTATATTAAAAATGGAAAGAAGTATATAACACTATCCCATTTATGTTGCACTGCAAATAGCAATGATGGAAGTAGAGGTAGAGAGAGTTGGGGTGCAAGGGAGGGGTTTTTGTTCTCCTCTGATCACATATGCACAAATATATTAGAAACAATTTCTGTGCTCCCACCAGTTTCCAAATAAAAAGGCTATGTTACATGTTCTTACTTGTGCCTCACTTATAGCTTGGCTACATGTGGACCGATGGACTTATATATATATATATTGAGAGAGAAAAGGGTGGAGACTGTTCGCCGATTAGCTTAACCGCAAGCTGACGGGTCGCAAGTAATGTAAAAAGTATCGTTTCCTCAAAGACTACAGCCAGACGAGTTAAAAAGCATAATTATGCTCTTAATTAGGTTAAGTGAAATAATTATTGTAAATGAAGTTGTTTAATGTACCTTGAAAACAAAGATTAAACCTGAAATAAAATAAACTTGATTTTCAGACAAATAAGGGTCTAGGGTTATTTCTCACTATTGCACTTTCTAAAACTTGATTAATAACTTCTCATTTAGTGTTTAACAATAAGTTAAGTTAGCCCAAGGTTCACAAATATTGATTAGACTTTCTCAAGTCAAACCAAGTTTTGCAATCTTAGCAAAATTTCACAATCTCTTGCTTTTGTTTAAAAAGACTACACTTTGAAAACCTAAGCCCTTTTTGGACAATGCTAGGTCCATAAATATATCTCTATTCTATCAACAAATCATCCATTTTAATAGGATAAAATTCCGGTCTAGCACATTTTTACCCAAGTTCAAATATCGATTTAACTTTCTCAAACTTCAACCAATCAACAAATCATTCCAAATGGTGGCCAATCACAAGGAAGCAATAAGCTCAAGGTAAAAACAACATAACATTATCATTAACACTAAAGAGAGAGTTAAAACAAGTCTTAATCCATACAATAGATCAAAATAACCTTAGAATGACTACTTTAGCTACACATGTTTAGCAAAGAGCTACAAATACATAGATAGTTCATAGCCATTACAGAAACAAAGGAGAAGAGAAGGAGAAGAAGCTTTCAATCTCTTGCAACTTCAAGCCCAATGTTCCCAAGCTTCAAAACTTCTAAACCCTAGCAGAGAACACCTCTAAATAAGCCTCTAAGTCAAAGAATATCCGAAAATCATGAGTTCCCCCACTTGTCTGTCCTAATTTTTTTAAGTTACAATATAAAACGCACAGCTGCGAGGGGGCAGATGCCGCGGCAGATATGCTCATCTATCACAGTGGATTACACAAAATGGGAGCTTCTTACAAAGGGTTGGGTGCAACAGCAGATATAGACAGGTGCTGCGGTGCCTATTACAGAATGGCAAGTTTCTCGGGAAGGACTAGGCATCGCAGCAGATATGAATAGGCACTGCGGCGCCTTGGACAGAATGCCCTTCCTTCCTTTCTGTTGGAGACGCCGCGGCGGGTTGCTTTAGGCACCGCGATGGAGGGTGCTTTTTCAGCCTCTCTATCTTCGGTCTTCTGCCCTTGCTCGCTCTGGGTCCTTGATCTTCCTCTGATCACCCAAAATTAGTTGAATCTTTCTCCTTGTCATTCATCTTCCAGCTCCTGCTATTTTCTACATAAAGAATCTTAGAAGCATTGCACAAATAATCTCCAATTGTTAGCGTAAATCAAAGTTTACTTTATCAAGCCATATTTTCTAGCTTTAAGAGAATAATCCTACACAATTAGCTTCCAAAACCTAGAAAAAAGTGTTAACACAAGTTGAATTAGTAGGAATTTCGAGAGGTTATCAGAGACACATAGAGGAATTGAAAATTGTAAATGGTTGTATCAAAGCCGACCGTTCATTATATTACTGAGCTTTTGGGTTAATCTGGGAAATGAAGGAGAAGGGAGAAAGAACAGAAACTTTGGTTTTTGCTGTGAATGGGGAGAGGTTTGAGCTCTCAAGCGTTGACCCATTAACCACTTGCTTCAGTTCTTGCATGCTCAGACTCCATTCAAGAGCGTCAAGCTCGGCTGGGGCGAAGGTTTCTCTTTCAAACTCTGTTTCATGATCATCATGTTCATGTTGAGTATAACTAAAAGAGTTTGAATTCCACTGATACACACACACACACACGTGAGAGGCTCACATCGAGGAATTGAAAGTTGAAAATGGTGGGATCAAAGCCGGCAGCTTTATGATCTAAGAAAACCAGAAAGTGCGCGGAGATGGCACGATCTTCCCTGAAGACACTCATTTTTGAGCTTTCAGGTTCATTTGCGAGATGAAGGAGAATGATGAAAGAAGAGAAAGTTTGGTTTTTGGTGTGAAAGGAGAGAGATGTGAGCTCCCTGGCCATCAACCACTATCTATGCTTTAGTATTTACGTACTCAGACTCCATTGTGGGCAAAGCTCTGTCTCTAAGACCCTGTTTTATATGATGATCATGTTCACAACGTACAGTGGTTTCCTGATTTAGAAACTGGTTAGTCTCCAAAAGGACACTGATTTAGTTCGTTGTAATAAAAGATTGCATTATTGTTCCGTTAAGAAAATGTCTTCTTTCTAACACATATGAAGTGATATCCTTTTTGTTATAATGGGTATTTAGAACTGTCTAGTCAGTGAGAATGATAAATGATTTGGTGTTCATGATGGGAAGAAATTAAAATTCACGTAAGAAACGAATTCGAATATTTGATTATACAAAATTTAATTACTTCTTCTTGCCTCTCATGACTCCATTAATGTTGATGAATTATTGGACTATGATGATTTTGAGCGTGTTTGGTATGAGGGGAAGGGAGGGAAGAGGAGGAAAAAAGAGGGATTTTGTTCCCTTCTTCTTGTTTGGTTTCTTAAAATTTGGAAGAGGGGAGGAAAAATTTTCTAACCCGTTTGGTATGAGAGAAAATGAGAGGAGGAGAGGAGAAGGAAAATTTTAATAAGCTCGATTTAAAAAATTGAAAAAGTGGAATTAAAAATTTTAATCAACTTTTATTACTCTTTTATATTACTTTTCTATATTAAAATTTGAAAACCACGTTTTTCCAATTTTTTAAATAAAGCTCATTAAAAATTTATATCCCCTCCCCTTCCCTCCATTTTCCTCATACCAAATAGTACCTAAAAATTTCACTCATTTTCCCTCTAAAAAAATTAGGGGATCTGAAGTGGAGAAGCAATATTTTGCTTTGTATTGACTATTATATCCATAAGTATATTTATTATTTCCAAGTTACCCTTTTTTACACCTCATGCTAGGTAGTATCCAGCTTCGCCTCTCCTTTATCTTCCATCATGACGCCACCGCTGCTTATTCATCTCCGACGAGTGGGAGCTCTCCTCCTTCACCTATAATATTGCGTCTTCCTCTTCTCCATCTCTTGCTGTTGACACTCAAATTTGATCTCTGTGCCTCCCTCATCTTGCCATCGTCGTCATCTCCACCGTCTTTTAATAGCACGACACCACCATCTTGACAAGGCATCAATATTCGGTTGCTACCCGCAGTGATGTTATTCTTCTTCAACTTAATTAGAGCTCCAATTGGATTTCCATTTCAAAATGTTAGAGGGATTAATTTTTTATAAAACAAATAATTGCTAAATTGCTGGATTTTTTTGTTACTACCCACCATGATGTTATTGTTTTTTATTGTTAATGGATATAATAATTATATTAATTTATTCAATTTTAGCAATCATAAAATTATAATTTTTTATATTAAATATCATTTATAATTATATTTTACTAAACACTCTACAAAATTCAAAAAAAGGAAAAATCTCCAAAAAATGACTATTAAATTTCAAAATTCCAAATCAGTATTACATACTACACGCGTAAAAAAAAAACGACTATAACATATTTTTGTAGTAATTCCTGATTTGAAAATTTGAAATTCAATAGTCATTTTTTTAGGATTTTTCCCTTGAAAAAATAACTTAAACAAAATAAGGACAAAGTTGTCCATATAAAACTATTTTCCCTCCCCGTTCCTTCTAAACCAAACAAAGTAATATTAAAATCTCCTATTCTTCTTCCTTTTTAACAATCCAAATGAGGTAATATTAAAATTTTTCCCCTCTCTATATCTCCTTTTTCCTTCAATAAAGTCCTTCTCCTTCCCTCTCTCAGTTGAGGCAAAATAGACTCTTAAAGTATAACATGGTTTACTTAATTTGCAATCTTTTGAGATGAGCAATCTCAATATTAATACGTTCTTTTTCAAAAAGGTACAAAACACCCTATGCTTATTTTATTGCAATCTCAATGCATTCTCAATATCAGAATTTTCTTCATGAAAAATACAAAACATCGTATGCTTATTATATTGCCGACAACAAATATTCTGTCCTCCATCAAGAAGCTGCCACTATTGACAGTTAAAATGATTTATAAATACTCCTCTAGTCTTAAATTTATGACCCATTTTATAGTATAAATTACATTATAAAATAAGCCTTCTATATAAAAACGAATGAGTATTTTTTTGCCCAGCCACCACACTCTAGATTAGAGTAAACTAATAGATTAAATGATTCCAGCTAGTTGTATAACCTACGGAACTACGGCAAAAAAGAAGTGCCCACAATTCAAAGCTGCTATTGTTAGCTCATCTTCTTCGTTCTTCTCTCTGGCTTCAAGTCATCATCGCGATCATCTTCCAAAAACCAGATGTAAGTTACTTCATTTGTTTCACGATTTGAATTGGATTTCTTGTTTCTCTTCACGTTTGCTTCTCCTAGTTTCCCTTTGATTAGGGTTTCCATGTATTCAGTGGCTATTTTCGAACCATTCAGATTCCTTACATTTTATATTTGCTCGAAAAGGAAAATGGTTGAACATTGGAAATTTCTAGTACTTGTTTGGCAGTTAAATTGAATGCGTGATTAGAAGTGGATCCAAAATGTTGGATGCAGGGAAAAGGTAATGATGGAGAGAGGAGGTGGAAGGCCAAAGGATGTTGAACTGTGGAAACAAGTCACTGTATTGGAGGGGAAGAAGAAAGTAAAGTGTAATCACTGTGGATTTCTATTTGCAGCAAGTGCTAATCGAATCAAATATCATATTTATCAGATTCCGGGTATGGGTATTCGACCGTGTAGTCCTGATGATTCCAGTAAAGGCACCAGCGAGAAACAGGATCTCCTTGATTCACAAGGTATGAAATAATAGCATCTTAATTTGAAGGGAAGACTGATATTTTGGCATCTTGAAAGGGTATTATTAACGCACCATTTTCTCTCATATATGAATGAATAACATAAGTGCATTATATTATGTTCTTCCCATAAGTACATTATGTTAAATTCTTCCCAACAAGTACAAAGCCACACTGATGAAGATATGCATCAAAAAAAGATTAAAGTTGGTCCTTTCTCTGTTTCTAATATGATGAATGAATCTGACTTGCGGTTGATTCAATATGTTTTTGAACAATCATGGTTAGATTCATATATCCCAACTATATTATTTTATATACTACTTTCAATTCTAAATATAAAACCTAGTTTGTAGTCCAGTTGATTCAATATTTTTTTTTTGTACAACGAACTAGGTCTCATATTTAGAACTAAAAGTAATACAAATTAGTATTTATATGTGTTTATTTGTGTTTTATAAAATCTTAAATCATCCAACTTATATTGTCTTTATTGAGACAATTTTTTCTTCACGGTGTTTATATTTGAAGCAATCTCAATTTACCACACTTAAACCAAAGACTATCTCCCCCATAGTATTGAAACACTTGAAACAAGTAGTGGCACCTTTGCTCCTTCCTTGGATAGGCTATTTCTTTACCTCAAAGTTCTTGATATTTATGGATGCAGAAGAATGAAGATTCTGATGACGCAAGAATAGCACAACTCCCAAACCTAGAGACCATTTACGTTTAATCTTGTATGTTGATGGAAGAAATGATTGGAGAGCATTATTATAGTGGTAACACTCTATGCCCTAGCTACTATCACTCTTCCCAAAGTGAGAGTTGTGAAATCAATTGGTCTACCAAAATGAACTTTGGTATTTAAGAGGAACCATGCTCTATCCTTCTCTAAAATATTCTGATGCCTTCACTTGTGGGAAGCTAAGCCCCCTTGCATATGGTACCGAGTCATGAGAAAAATATCACATAAACTCACAATCAGTTTGAATATACTTCCCCAAAAAATCTAAATAAAGGTCTGGTAATCTATTTGAATCATTGAGCATGGAAGAGCAAGGACCCGAAGTGCTGGAAGATGTCACAAGTTGATAAACCTTGATAAATTTGTTAATTCAATGAAGAATCTTCGAAATCCACTCTTATGTTTGCGTATGTGTATATATTATTTTGGTTATGTCAAGTAGAACTTAAAATAAGTATTAACCATACCGAGCCAATTTGTAGTGTATGCATGCTTGATGCTAGTTTCTTAATCACTGTTCAGATTGTGCATTACTGAAATTCAGGGTCTTTTGAATCCCTCTCTATTTTTACGATGATACCAAACTCCACAATTTTGTCGAAAACACCATAATTAATGTAAACCCAATATATTTTGCCTTAGCTTCCTCTTATATTTATTTTGATAGACAGCTTCTTTTTATTAATTTTTGAATCTGTTTAGGCATGGAAGTCGTAAGTTTAGGTGCTATGAATAAACCCTGACGCAAGTCGTGATTTTTTTTCTCATCAAGTGTGGCAGATTTTGAGGTTTCTTAAAATGCATGATTTCAGGGTATTGATATTTGAGATTCATGAATCGAATTCTGTGTGAATTCCTTTCTAGGCGTATGGTCAATTCCACCGGCAGGCGTAGGACCCATTTAGTACAATCTTTCTGCGTTGCCTTCCTCTAATTGTTGTACTGTGTTTCATGATTTCATAGTCTTCCCTGCTTGTTTTCTAATTACTATCTCCAATCGCTAGATACCGTAATAATCCTTTTATTTTCCTCAGAATTTTCTGGGTTTCTTGCTTTTAATGTCGTATCTGTATTTGATTTTCGTTTTTGGTTTTTTTTTGGGTCTTCGTCATCTGTTACTGATCTCTCACGGCTTCGTCAAGCGGAACATCTTCAGGTTCAAGTTCGTCGTCTATGTCTCAAAACTCTGAATCAGAGGAGGATCTGCAGGTTCTGATGGATCTGAGGAAGAGGAAGGGGATGATAACGAATCGCGATTCAGAAATGCTATCTCCAATGAGAAAGCAGAAACATCTGGGCCATCTGGTGGCTGAAGTGGCTCAGCGCAAAAATGAGAATCAGCAAATTCTCACAAGCACTAGTCTCACCACAGAACATTACTTGCGATTTGAAGCTGAGAACTCTGTTCTTCGAGCTCAAGCAACTGAGCTGCGCTTAAGGCTCGAATCCCTGAGCCAAATAATCGATCACTTGACTGCCAACAACAATGGAGCTTCTGCAAACATCTTCACTGAGCCCAACAATGGCTTCTTGAACCCAATGAACAGGACATATCTTAACCAACCAATTTCGGCTTCTGCAGATTTATCCTCAGAGAGTCCCACTTTCTCTCCATTGACAGACCTTCCTTGCTTTGATTCATTTTATGAGTAAATTTGTCCTGACAGTTTTTATTTAGGAGCATTAGGCACTTCAAGATATTTTTCAATGCAAATTTTCTGCATAATTTTAAAATTATAACAATTTTGCTCTTTATCGTTAAAAATACTAACAGTCAATGTCACTATTTTAATGGTAAGGACAATATTACTACGATTTTAAATTTTACAAATTTACATTAAATAAATTTCTAGATGCTCAATACTTCTTAGTGAAAACTTCGAAAACAAATTTATACATCAATCCTTTATTCTATGTTCCCTAAATAAAATAATGAGGAATGAAGAAAGAAATATGAAAGAAAGCTGTAATGAATATAAAGTTGCTCTATAACTATGAAACTTGAAAATTGTGAGAGACTATGTAGTGCTGGAAAAGAAAATTGACGTCACTGGAATTTCACATCAATAGGTATGGTATATCATTCTACGTGTTTTTCTTTGTGTTTTATAGCTTCCCATTGTATTCATTTTGTGAAGCATCCACGGATTCTGCATTCTCTTAAAATCTCTTTTGTTATTTTTCTTTCAAAATCCCAAGGGGAACAAAAGATGACATAAGTTCTAAGAAATACTACGAAACGTAAGTGAAAAGTGGAAATGCTCAGAGCCTGGAATGACAGAAATACAACCTAGAAAACATTTCATCTTATATTAATTAAATCGTTGATGTTCCATGTTGTCTTGTCCTATATGTTTTGGTAGAGTTCTCTTATATTGCATGCCCATGAACTGTTGTTCTAATGGGTATTTGAAACTGTCTAGTCAGTGAGAATGATAACTGGTTTAATGCGAAGACATTGCCGGTACTTCCCAACATACATGTACCATATCCAGAAGCTCATAATCATGCATAGATTCCTATGTTGGTGGCATAAGCGATTATTTTGGGAGAATTATAATCAAGTCTCAAGAAAGAGAAATAATTACTAAAAGGTCTCAATAACAATTTGAGCAGCTTATAATAACAAGTTTTAAAGTGGATAATGATAATCTCTAGGACTTGTTTTGTAATTTTTTTCCTCTTTCTTGAGACCTTATTGTAATTCTCCCATTTATTTTCACTGTATTGGTTAATTTCGAAATCAGGCAAGGCTTGCACTGCTGCACTTGTTAAGGCTAGTCCTTGACCTGGGGAAGTTGTGTCTGCTTAAAATACGTCTGAATGGGTTTGAAACGTTGCTTTTTCTATATGATAAATCTCCTCTCTAAGCAGATTACTATCTATCTCTCTAAAACACATATCTTCGCTGCTTTTAAATTTTTTAAAATATGAACAAGGTCCATCCATCTCTCATCTTTTTTCTGCTTCTATTTTGGATCATTCTCTCTCAGTTTCGCATGGTTCTGGCAATGGGTTTCAATGGACATAAAGGCCAACGAGTCATCACTTTAGTTGGCTTGAAACGAAGCTATGCTCTTCCGGTTGTTCACTTGAAGAATGAGCCATTTCAATGTGACTAATTGTTAGTTTTACCCTTTTCATTCTGCATTATAAATTACTTCTCTAGTCCTATTTACAAGTCACTTTCAACATGTTTCATACAGACTAAAAAAAACCTTAAACTTCATTTACTCTCATGTAAAATTCAATAACTTTTCAATTTTATCCTTGTTTAATATACATTATACCTCATATAAATAAAATCAATACAATAATAAATGAAGTATAAAATTATACATACATACAAAGAAAATTTCTTAATGCCCTATAAATAGAACTAAAAAATGTCTTCTCTTCTGCCCTATAAATAGGATAAGAGAAGCACTATAAATCATAAGGATATTTTTAGCTGCCAAGTATTGGATGTTCTGTTGGTGGGGGTAGTAGATATAGATATAGATATATATATATATATATGGATTTTATTGCTAATAGGACCCAGAATATTAATATATATAATAGTAATAAATAAACAACGGACATAGCGATTAATGGCGTGCAAAAGACAATGATATAGGGTGTGTTTGGATCCCTGATTGGAGATCCAAACGTGCATTGAAACACGCAAAACATTTGATTTGAAGGTAATACTTGTTTGGATTAGCTTTCGTTCCCATCTGACTTATGGGGGAAACGCTCAGTACCGCAGAAGCCAAGAAATGCAACGGTGGGCGGTGGATAAGTCATTATATTATTAAATTCCTTTAAAATTTTTAGTAACCCTCGTCTATCCCTTCTCTCTCTATTCTCTCACACCTCTGCTCTGTCATCTCCCTGTGCTCTCTCCGCCTATTCGCATAGCCTCTTTTCCCTTATTTCTTTAGCAGAGCAAATTGTCTTAAAAATATTCTTTTTTATTTTTAATAATTTTATTTTCAATAATTCTTTTAGAATGGTCACATTATATATATAATTTTTTTGTAACAATAAATTAAATTTCTTTATTTTTAATAATTTTATTTTCATTACTTCTTTTAAAATGGTCACATTATATATAATTTCTTTCTAATAATAAATTAAATTTTTTTACTTTTAATAATTTTATTTTCCTTACTTCTTAAAAAATAGTCATATTATATATATCTAATATTAGATATGTACTAATTAATAAAATTCATGTCCTTTTAATTCATTTTACATTTAAACTTACTTTTACATTTATCATCCATATAAGTTTCAACTTCTCAAACTAACTTTTTTCCAAAACACAATTCAAATATAAATCACATTACCCTATCTGACTTCTACTCAATTTGACTTCTGTAAAAGTCAGATTAAAAAAAAAAAATATTTCTGCTACCGCTATCCAAACACACCTATAATCTTAAAAGTTTAATTGGAAACTAAATAGATGCGGCCAGTAAAAAAGAGTCGTCTTCTTCTTCAAGCATTCCTGATGACATTCCTGACTCTCGAAGTCTTGAACTTCTAAAACTCAATTCAAAGAAGACACTGTTATTGTTACCTCATCTTCTTCCTTCTTTTCTGGCTTCAAATCACTGCCATCCGTACACCCTACTCATCGCTATCTATTTTGTTACTCTTTCTGTCCCATATATAAGATCCATTAATTGAATGGCATGTTTTAAAAGAATTGTTAAAATTAGTTAACATCATTTAAAAATGATAAATTTGTAGGAAATGTGCCTTCTTTAAAAAAAACAAAAAACAAAACAAAATATCCTTATTTGCAAGTGGGTAGGTGGGAGTGAGAAAAAAGAAGAGAGAATGTATTCGGAAAAAGACAGTAAGGGAGTATATTAATTAAAGGGAAAATTAATTTGTTATTCCTTGTAATTTTATCAAATTTTGAATCAGGTTCTTATAGTTTTTTTTTCTTTTTATTCCATCCTTAATGATTATTCTGTTAGTGGTGCTAGTCCTTCTGTTAAATAACCTTGCAAACGCCATTAATTTGAGTTAGCAAGGATGAAGTGGCCTGAATAAAATCTGATTAAGCACCCTCACGTGATCTTGGTCTGCCTTCCCGCCTGCAATGCCAATGGGTTCTGCGCTGCGGGTCCGTTTCGGGGCAAAGGAACTGCTGAATTTCCAACCCAATCGATTTTAAAAAGTCTCTTGCAGTGCCACTAACTACCCTGTTTTCTGCTTCAAAAAACAGAGTAACATTTTGTGGAGCATTTGTCCAGTTGGAGAAGACAGGCGCAAGTTACGTGTGAATACCACATTTACTAACTTGACCCTTTAAAAGCTGGAGTTCTCAAGGGTTACTATCATGATTTTTAAGATTATTTCTCCAGTTGCTTTTCCATTACAATTTTATTATATATTCATTCGTAAGGGAGAGCCAAGAAGCATGTGTGTGTATAATAGACAACCCCCATCCTGAGATATATATAAAAAAGTGAACGACAAATAAGTACACATTTTCATCTTTCTCTGCTTCTCCATAGGGTTCAAGGAACAAACTATTGAGAGTTTCCAAAAGATCATATATATATATATATATAAATCAAATGCAGAGGCAGAGCATTTTTTTTTTTTTGGCACTGAGGAAGGGTATATGTTGAACTCAATGTATGTGTATAGTTTGTTAGACATTTGGATGAAGCAGGTTAGTGTGGGTTTATGTTAATGAACCTGGTTGCAAATAAAGAAGGAAAAGCGCAAAGGCGTGGTTCATTAACTTTTGTCTTTTGAGTGTTAATTGGTCAAAATGAATAAAGAAAATAGAAGGCTAGTATTTTGTAGGGCTGTTCACGGGACGGATCGGGACCGGGACAGGCCCGTCCCGGTTCCGTCCCGGTGAACAGTAACAGGACAGATTTTCTGTCCCGTGTCCCGGTCCGTCCCGGGGTTGTCCCGGTCCCGGTCGGGACGGGACGGATCCGGGACGTCCCGGACATTTTTTTTTAAATTTTTTTTAATTTTTTTTAATTTTTTTTAATTTTTTAATAAAATCTGAATTTTTTAATTATATTTTTTTGGGCTTAAACCTTATAAAAAACATCTTTTTATTTTTTTATTTGTTTGGGCACTCTTAAATAAAAGCTCAAAATATTACATATAATAATCATTAAAAACTCTAAACAAAAGCTTTTAACACAATAAAAACTTGCTAAAAATTCTAATAATCAATAATTTCAAATCATTAACAAATATAAAAACTCTAAATAAATATATCTATAGTTCCATACAATAGTCTCAAATCTTAAAAAAACATGAAAAAAAATGATATTATATAAATAGAATAAAAAATTTAAAAAATTTAAAAAAAAAGGACCGGGACGGGACCGGGACGGGACGGCCCCGTCCCGTGTCCCGTCCCGTCCCGGTCCCTTTTTTGTCCCGTCCCGAAAAATTTCGGGACGGATCCGTCCCGTCCCAATAAGACCGGGACCGGAACGGGCCGACCGGGACGGGCCGACCTTGAACACCCCTAGTATTTTGGAGCAGCCTTGATATCCTGGACTAGCTTCATCAATTGCTTATAGGCATTGAACATGAAGAACAACGTAATTAGATGCTCTCCAAGAAGACTTTGTGAATGGTTGGGTTGGAAGCTCTTAGTTCTGATTATGCCTTGTTTG